CTATAGGGTCATGAATTCATGTTTGTGTTCCTGACCCTATAGTGATCCTTTAACGTAATGCTGACTTTGGTCTCTCTAACACTGTGGCATGCTCCCTTTCTTCTACACTCACTACATATAGCTTTACTCTGTCCCAGACCATATACCAGGATCTTCTGCCTGCTAGTAAGAAGGTAAGGAGACAAGTGGACCAGTGAGTGCTAGGGGACAGTCCTTAGAAAGCGTTGGTGAGTGCATCTTTAGATGCATTTATGCCAAGCTCAGGGTGTTGTCTGCATAGTATGCCCTTAGTTGGCCAGCTGCATGATTGGCAGACAGCCTGACATGCATTCATGTCAGGCTGGCCTTCTAATTCTTTGAGCAGAAATGTCCTCTTTTTGGGCATGTTTGCCCGTTTTGGCAAGTTATGCGATTTGTGTCAGTGGCACACCCTTTTACCGCGCCCATTGACTTCCTGCTTGATTGGACGTTGCTGTTAGGGGTTATGGATTTACTTTAAAGCTGAAAACATAAATTAGAGAGAGATTAGCCTAGGGTATGTGTTTTCTTATAGCTGCTGTTTTCTTTCTCTCCAGCACCATCTCCATCAGATACATGATGCTTGGGAGTGTTTTACTGTTTTTGGTCGATATGATTCTGTAATTAGGCCCGTCAGAATTGTCAGCACCAGGCCCACTAGGCTCTTAATCTGGCCCTGGTGTGTATGTATGTATATCTATGTGTGTGTGTATATATATATATGTGTGTGTGTGTATATGTGTATATATGTGTATGTGTGTGTGTGTGTATATATATATATGTGTGTGTGTGTGTGTGTGTGTATATATATAAAATTTGGACGTATTGTATGTGAGGTGCGCAGTATGTGTGTGTGTGTGTGTGTGAGGGTGTTTTTATCTGCCGTCACATTCTAGGTTTCTAATTTTCTTTGTCTGTTAACTCACTGAGGGTTATTTTATATAATATATATATATATATATATATATATATATATATCTATATGTGTGTGTGGGAGGGTGCTGTGTGCATCTGGGGGTGCTGTGAGTGTGAGTGTGAATTTATTTTAATATATTTTTTATTAATAATTTAAAAAATAAAGTTATATCCCCCCCTCCAGTCTTACCTTTAGCCTGGGAGGGGGGGAGCCGTTCTGCCTGGGAGGGGGAGCCATGCTGCCTTCCCTGGTGGTCCTAGTGGTGAGAGTGAACTCTAGCCTACAGGCTAGAGTTCACTCTCGCGAGATCTAAGCATTGCCGTGGTAACAGCGGCAACGCTCAGACCTTCGCGAGAGGACCCGGCGGAGCTGCTAGCTAGAGCTTCGCCGGTCCTCTCCTCTCTCCCTCACTCCCCAGCCGCCGGCCGCCTGTAACACTGCCTGTGGGCCGGTGAGGGAGATCTTTTGAACTCCCCACCGGCCCATGGAGGCTTAGAGCAGGGCCGGCGCTCGGATAACGATGGCCCTGCAGGGGCTGGCAGGGGAGATCCTGTGATCTCCCCTGCCGGCCTCGGCCCCACGGCCATCGCGGCCCACCGGGCTTTTCCCCGGTATGCCCAATGGCCAGTCCGGGCCTGGCCATGATCTACTGTGTCAAAGGCCTCGGCAAAAACAAGGAAAATAGCTCCAGTTAAGTCTCCTTGTTCCATGCCAATTTGGATGTCATTGCAAACTTAAGAGGGCAGTTGAAGTTGAGTGATTTGGACGAAAGCCTGATTGATCAGGAGTTAGATAATTTCATTGTTGATAATATTCATATAGTTGCATGTGGACACATTTTTCCAAGATTTTTGACACTGGGAGCAATGATATCGGGCGATAGATACCAAAGTATTGTCACCACTTTTATGGATAGGTACAACTTTTGCAATCTTCCACAGTTTGGGTATGTATCCTGACACCACGGATTTATTGATAAGGATAGTGACAGGTTTAGCAATTGCTGGTGTACTGAGCTTCAGCAACATTGCTGGGATCTGATCTGGTCCACACTGGCTTTTCATTTTTAAATTAATAAGATGTTTATTAACGACACTAACAGGCACAGGTCTAAAATGTAATTTTTCTATATGAGGATTTTAAAGATCTGGCAGGGCCTGATCTTTATTTGCGGTCTGAAAATGAGTGTAATTTGTTATCTTAGCAACCAGCGTGGTAGCACATTTAACTAAATAATTATTAAAGGCATTTGCTACATTTAGGGGGTGTTGCAGTGTTTGGTTGTCCATTTTGACAGTGGAGGGTTGGGAGTGGATTGTGGGGGTTTGTATGCTATTTATGATTCTCCAAAACTTTCTTGGGTTTGATAGGTTGTTGTTCAATATTGGGCCTTTGCCATTTTACAATTAAATGAGGTCAGCTGTAACCCAGGGCAGGTGTGTCCCTTTTATTTGCAATTTGCGCAGAGGGGCATGCAAATTCCAAACACGCAAGAGCTCAGACTGAAAAAATGCAATTGCAGAGTCAGATCTGGTATTAGACCTAATCTGTGCCATGGTATGTTCTTGAGATCATTTTAAAAAATCATTTTTTAATAGACCTGGTGATTATAATCTTGGGAGTAGATTTAGTGGCCTTTATGTTTGCTATAGCTTTCCCTACTAGGAGTTTTTTCCCTCTAGAGCAGTGATGGCTAACCTTTTGGGCTCGGTGTATCAAAATTAATTTTTAGTTCAGGACCGTCATCGGCATTTTCCCATTGCCGACCGCTGACGGTCCTGAACCGTCCTAACGGTCCTAGTTACTTACCTGATCGCCGTCGTTCCCCCAGCGGCGATCAGCGTTGCTCCCGTTGTGGGGAGACTGCCTGCAGCCCAGACAGTCTCCCCACACTGGATTAGGACCCCTGTGGCCATGTGATCGCTTAACACAGCGATCACATGTTCACAATAGGTGTCCATGTGTCTGCCTGCAGGGGGTCTGCCTGTGTTGACAGGCAGTCTCCCTGCTAGTGTAAAATAAAAAAAAAATAAAAAAGTTTATAAGTGTATTTTTATATTAATATAAGTATATATTATATATGTATATATATATATATATATATATATGATATATAGACATATATTATATCCATATAATATATGTCTATATATCATATATATATATATATATAATGTCATACTAAGTGTATTTTTATATTAATATGTACTTATATTAATATAAAAATACACTTATAATTAAATTACACAGGTATATATATAATATATATAATAACTATATATATTGTATATATATATTATTATAAAATATAAATAATAAGTAATTTAAATTAAATTTAAAAAAATGTTAAATAATAAAAATTGAAAAAAAAATTATATATCTATATGAAATTTGATTCTAACTGTATTTTAAAATTAATATATATATATTTATATCAAAATACACTTAGAATGAATTTGTATATATATCTATGTATATATAAATAAATAAAAATAATACGAAATATACATATGTCCATATACAAAATTACATAAATAATTATATAAATATACACGTAGACTTCAAATATATAAATATGCATATATATTTAAATTCTACGTGTGTATTTATGTAATATTTTTACATAATTAAGTAATTTGATTGATTGCAATTTGAGGGACATGCCTGCCAACCCAGGCCGAAAGTCGAGAGAATTTAATTTGCTAGCCCTGTATTTTACCCTGTAACGTTCTACGACACCCTAAAACCTGTACATGGGGGGTACGGTTTTACTCGGGAGACTTCACTGAACACAAATATTAGTGATTCAAAACAGTAAAATATATCACAGCGATGATATTGTCAGTGAAAGTGACTTTTTTTGCATTTTTCACACACAAACAGCACTTTTACTGATGATATAATTGTTGTGATACGTTTTCCAGTTTTTAAACACTAATATTTGTGTTCAGCGATGTCTCCCGAGTAAAACAGTACCCCCCATGTACAGGTTTTATAGCATTTTTGAAAGTTACAAGGTCAAATATATGGGTCAAATATTTTTACATTGAAAATGGCCAGGTTGGTTACGTTGCCTTTGAGAGCGTATGGTAGCCCAGGAATGAGAATTACCCCCATGATGGCATACCATTTGCAAAAGAAGACAACCCAAGGTATTGCAAATGGGGTATATCCAGTCTTTTTTAGTAACCACTTAGTCACAAACACTGGCAAAAATTAGCGTTCGATTTAGTTTTTTTTACCTTTTTCACACACAAACAAATATGAATGCTTACTTCGGCCAATGTTTTCGACTAAGTGGCTACTAAAAAAGACTGGACATACCCCATATTGAATACCCTGGGTTGTCTACTTTATAAAAAATATTTACATGTGGGGTGTTATTCAGAGATTTATGACAGATAATAGTGTTACAATGTCACTGTTGACACATTTTAAAAATGTATGTTTTGAAACCGCAATATCCTACTTGTACCTATAGCCCTATAACATGCAAAAAAAGCAAAAAAGCACGTAACCACTGGGTATTTTTAAACTCAGGACAAAATTTTGAATCTATTTAGCAGTTTTTTTCATTCACTTTTGTAGATAAGTAAAAGATTTTTCAAGTAAAAGTCAAAAAACATGTATTTGTTTCAATTTTTCATCATATTTTTTTATTTTTTTTAAATCAAAATACATGAGATTATATAAATAATGGTATGTAAAGAAAGCCTCTTTTGTCCTGAAAAAAAAATATATAATTTGTATGGGAACAGTAAATGAGAGAGCAGAAAATTACAGCTAAACACAAACACCACAAAAGTGTAAAAAGATGCCTGATCGCAAATGTACAACATCGCAAAAACAGTCCAGTCCTTAAGGGGTTAACTCGGGGTGCTGTGTCACATCTAGAAATATTCATAATTTTGTGATATTTGTAACTCTAGTAAAAAAAAAGTTATATTTTAGATATATTTATTAAAAAAGCAAAAGCAAATAATTATTTACATTAGTAACTTTTTTTGTTGCTGAATTCCATTTAATAAAATGTTCAATTTAAGGTTGGTATTTCGTACACTTCAAGCCCAAGCAAGCACTACTAGCTTCATCTATCAGTCGGTTTCTTTTATTGGTTTTAATATTATTTAAAATTGTGAGTAAAGCCATCGCTAGATTTTTCAGGGTGCTAAAATTGTTCTGTAATTGGTTCCAAGCACCCAAAATTTCCTGTTCGTAGTGGCACACTTCTTCATTCTCTAAGCGATTCCTTTTTTCCAGATTCTCAAGTTTCGACCTCAGGTTGACAAACACTTGAGCCCAGATGCTGTCTTGAAATTCTGCAAGTTGCATCTCCAAATCATCAATTTGCATCCATTGGAAACCATTTAATTCCAAATTACTGTAGACTACCACATCTGGATACTTAATTATTTTCATTGTCTGTTCCTGGCTTCTATATTGATGAAATATTTCGCCAAACTGGTCATGTAACGAGTTTACAACATGCAAGTACTTTATATTCATGGGCTCCATTTCATCTTGTACAGTTGCGCTCAGGGCTGGCCTTCAGGCGCCCTGTGCGAAAAATCTTCACAGTGCCCCCCCTACGTCATCCATGTATGATATAATGTTTGTGTTGTCTGTGTATGCGATAGATGTGATGACTGTGTGATATGTATGATATGTGTTAAATGTGGGTGATATTTGTAATGGGTGTATTAACAGTGTGTGATATGCGTGTATTTGTTGTATGTGATATTTGTGCTGGATTTATTGGCTGGATTTATTGGCTGTGTGTGATGTTTATTTAAAGGAAACTCCAGTACCAGGAAATCCGTTTTCCTCACACTGCAGGTCCCCTCTCCCTCCCACCCCCCAATCCTCGGTTGCTGAAGGGGTGAAAACCCCTTCAGTGACTTACCAGAGGCAGCGACATGTCCCACATAGCTGCTTCTTCCTCCCCCACCGCTCCTCCCAGTGATTACATCAGCCGGTGGGCAAGACTGATCCCGCCCACCGGCCGGGGAGACCTAATTAGAGCTCCCCATAGGAAAGCATTGAAAATACTTTTCAATGCTTTCCTATGGGGAAATGAGCAACGCTGGAGGTCCTCACACAACGTGAGGACGTCCAGCGACACTCTAGCACAGGTTTCCTGTGCTATGATCCAGGATCCTCTAGTGGCAGTCTAGTATAAAAAAACTGCAATAGTTACACTTGCAGGGTTAAGAGTAGTGGGAGATGGCACCCAGACCACTCCAATGGGCAGAAGTGGTCTGGGTGCCTGGAGTGTCCCTTTAATTCAGATAAAAACATGCATTTAGGTCTGTGTGTGAATGCAGGAGTATATTTTTGCAGAGTTATGTGCACAGTCCCACAGTCAGATACACACAGTTATACATATACACTGTCAAATCCACCACATGCACATAGCCACATACACAGAATCAGTCAGAAACACACAGGTACAGGCAGTAACACACATACAGTTACAGGTAGATAAACACACTCACACACAATTACATGCAGTCACACACACACACAGGCAGCCACACACACATAGGCAGCCACGCACACACACACACAGGCAGACAGTCACACACACACACACAAACACAGGCACAGTCACACATACACAGGCAGACAGTCATACACACAAACACACACACACACACACAGAGGCAGACAGTCATACACACACACACAGGCAGACAGTCATACACACACACGCAGACACACAGGCAGACAGTCATACACACAGACACACACAGGCAGACAGTCATACACACACAGGCAGACAGTCATACACACAGACACACACAGGCAGACAGTCATACACACACAGGCAGACAGTCACACTCATACTGAAAATCATACATAGTTACCCCTGTTCATTGTTGAGGCAGTGCAGCTCCTGGAGACTGTTTGTTGGGGGAGCAGACACTCCTTCCTGCTTCCCCTGCAGCAGTTATCCAGCACTTTCAGCTCCGCCCCCACCGTCAGTTTGGCTCCGCCCCGTCGTCCATTTCGCTCCACCACCGCCACACGGGAAGCTCCGCCCCGCCGCAATTTTTTCTTTTTCCAATCCCGCCTGGCCATGTGTGAGCTGTGTCGGCCGCACGGCGCCCCCTGCTCCATGGCGCCCTATGCGGCTGCACAGCTCGCACACCCCTAAGGCCGGCCCTGGTTGCGCTGACCTTCTCAAAAAAATTTTACTCAAGGAAATACTTATAAGTTTTAGTCTCCACATCTCGCTTAAAAATTGTAAGTTTACTTTCAAAAGCTTTTATGTATCCAAACATAACGCCAATACTTTTGCCAAAACCTTGTAACTGTAAGTTCAGTTCATTCATATGAACAGAGAGATCTGCAAAAAACATCAATGTGCTGACCCACTTATGATCATTGATCTGAGGAAAGTTTGCCATATCCTTATCCTCAAGAAATACCGTAATTTTTACAAAGCACTCCACAAATCTCTCAAGTACTTTTCCTTGGCTCAGCCATCACACATTATTAAACATCAGCAGTCCACTGTAGGTTGAATCAACTTCCTGTAAAAGTGCAGAAAAGTCTCACTTGTGAAGGGGTCGAGCAGCTAAAAAATTCACAATTTTTGTTACAGCTGACATTAAATTATTTAATTCTGTGAATCCTGCCTTGGCACATAACACCTCCTGATAATGCAATGAAAAGGCACAAGTGGATGTCCAATAGCTTCCATAAACAATTTCACAAATCCCACATTTTTCCCACCATATTGGGTGCCCCATCTGTCGTCACTGACACAACTTTAGAGATATCAATGCTTAGGTCATTGAATATTTTTATAACAACCTTACATATTTCACTTCCTGGTGTACTTATTGGCACTGATTCTAACTTTATCAACTCTTCTCTCATTGTGAGACCATCAGAATATCGAGCAATAATGGCCAACTGAGCATTTGATGTGACATCAGTAGTTTCATCAAGAGCAATCGAAAAATATTTACAATTATTTAAGTCTCCTTTTAATTGATGCTGTATGTTTGTGTTCAGTCTCATTTTTCTGTCTTTGATGATATTTCTACTCAGTGGTAACTCAGAAATTTACTTAATAATTGCATCTTTATTCTGCATATCATGAAATAGAACTGGTGCACATCTTAAAAGAGTGCCTTTAATAAATTCTCCTTCACTGAGGGCTTTTCCATGCTGAGTTATGGAGTGAGCAATGCAGAAACTTGCTGATGTGAAATTTGTAAAGCCTCTTAAAAATCTAAGGATAGAATTTGATTGACTCTTATAGAGGTGTAGCCAGTGGTGTATCCTGGTTTTGTGCTGCCCTAGGCAGTGGCTGGCGGGCGGGCGGCTGGCGAGGGAGCTCTTCCTTTGAGTGGTCTGCTCAGCTCCCTCGCGCACCGCAGAGTGAGGCTGGGAGCCGAGTTGATGACGTCATATTCCGGCTCCCAGCCTCACTCTGCGGCGCGCGAGGGAGCTGAGCAGAGCACTCAGAGGAAGTGCTCCCTCGCCAGCCGCCCGCCCGACCATCAGCCAGCGCCGCCCGCCCCCTTTTTTGCCGCCCCCTGGAAATTGCCGCCCAAGGCAAATGCCTTGTTTGCCTCGTGGCTAATACGTCCCTGGGTGTAGCTGCCTAAAAATGTATTCCTTCCTTTCAGCCTCACTTTTTTTTCAAGACATGGCAATAATTAGTTTCAAGATGTCTATTTATATTCCACCTTCTGCTTATTACCATTTCATTACACAGTATGCACAATGATCTGTTGTTTCTGTCGATAATGCCATACATCTCGGTCCATATGTCTTGAAAGGTCGGCTACTGCTGCTACCACTTCCTTTATGTAATCTTGCTTTTTTATTTATTGGGTTCTCCTTCACAGGACTGCGACAATAAATAAATATATAAATAAATAAAAATCACTGCATTTTCTATAAAAGACTAATAGATTTCTTACCTCTGTAAGAGTTTTTTGTTGGACTGACACCTGGTACAAAATAATTCAAAGCACTACAGTCTATTGGCTCGCAGAATGTCTCGTCAAGCAGTGTCTCTGTCTCTTCTACCCCTTCCTCTCCTCTCTCTTAACGGAAACAGAAGCAGAAGGTTATTACTTTTTTCATTGGGTGGATTCACTGCCATCTAACAGCGAACGTTTGCAAACATTCATTTTCTGGCAACCCTGATCAAGTCCGTCCGGCTGCCATGAACCCACCCAATCACACGCACAGTGGCATCACTGGTTTGCAGTGTCTCTTTAAACATGGTTTCATTTGTATTGCAATTACAAAGTTTTCTTGGTTTTGAAGAGATTTCACTTTATTTTCAGAGTCTAAGCAAGAAAGATATTCTCTGCTCTGCCGTTTGGCATAAAATGTGTTAAATAGTGATATTTTTTTTTTCACATCAAGGAAGGTTTTGTCTTTTAATGAGAAAATGCATAATTAGCTGATGCAGGGTAGTATATAGTAGAGTAGAATGAAATGTGCCTTTAAGAAACAGTAGTCTGGGGAGTAAAGAAGAGCTCTGTCTTTGTCCCATTAAACTTGTGCAGAAATGAAGAGGTGTTGAGCATTGCTAAACTTACTAACAGTTCTCCAACAGACTCAGCAGGCTCAGGATCACCGTTCTGGGCTCAGGGTTCAGGGCAGGTTTGCAGAAGGAGTGTTGGAGGAGACCGCACTGCGCTATGACCCGGCTTCACTCTAGCATTGCTGTGACTCTGCCTCCACGTGATGTCATGGAACGCACGTATGCAAAGGGCAGGGGAGGTCAGGAGGAGGAGAAAGTAAGACTCCTATGCAAGCGGCATCGGCGAATAGTAGAGGACTTACTAAAAAAGTCCTTCACTATGCAGCGATGCCGCTCGAATAGTTAAGGATCGTGTCAAAATATTTTGCACACTATTTTGGGCAGCGGGGCTCAAGAGGCAGCAGCCTACCGGAGCGCTCACTGTTCTTGGGCGATGACCTTGTGTCCCCAAAATGTCTTGGCGTGTCACCTTTGACACGTATCAAATTCTCCACTCACTGATTGGATTTCCTTCTATTGCCTTTTTAGCCATTTCTCTCCCCTTTGGGTTTTCTCCATTTGAAGATTTCTGTTTCCCCTCTCCCTTACTCCGACTGCTTACTGCGGTCCACAAAACTGCCGCCGGGTTGGGAGATTTCCCGGGCCCGAGCACCCTGCTTGCGCGGCTGCAATCTTGACTCTCGCGGCACGCAAGATCGCAGTGGGCATTTTGGATTACCGCACACGTTCGGAGTCACAACATGAGTGCCGTCCTACAAGGAGCTTCCTTACTGCAGTGCCCAAAGCCTGTCATTTACTGGATGAGCCCTGTTACTTGTTGCCACAGAGACACCATTATTGTTGCACATCTGGGACACCTTCTGTGAATAGTTTACGGAATACCCTGCTAGCCTGCTGACAGCCCCTCCTGGTTAGCTTTTCATCTGGCTCAGGTCAGTTATTACTATCCTGGTATTAAAAATGCAAGGGCTGCCTCATTTGACTCCAAAGCCATACAGGAGTGGGCTCATGACATATGTTAGTGGGCACAGAGGTGCTTTCGTTTCTTAAGAAACACAAATGTAGCTCTTTCCTTATTTCGCATTGATACAAAACTGGCAGACCTGGGATCCAGGGAATTGAGCCCATAGGTACAAAGCAGGTTATTTGGCAAACGGTTCTCGAAAGAACTCCAGATGTGGGAGGTCACCATAGGTACCAACAGCCTCGAGGGGCGGATAGAAGTTGAGGACAACGCAGTCGTGGACTTGCACTTTTCTCCTTAGGTAAACACCAACCACTGTTCCTCCAGTTTGGGCTTGGGGCTACTGCTGACCATGTTTCTCATTTTATTTCTAACGGTGGCTGGCGTTAACGACGGACTCATGGATACTACAGACCATTCAAGGATACATTATCGATTTTGTGGACACCCGGATTCAGACCAGACACCCTCTGCCCATCCAATTTTGGTCGGCCGACGCTCGACTCATAGATGGAGAGATCCAAGAATTGTGGAACCAAGAAACGTTCAACCGGCCACAGACGGTGGCAGTTTCTTCAGCAACATTTTCCTGGTGCGGAAAAAGACCGTGATTTTCATCCTATAATAAACCGTCAAGATCTCAACACCTATGTGGTGTACAACCATTTCAAGATGGAAGGGATCCACTTGTTATGAGATCTCCTGCAGAACAGCAGTTTGGACCTGCAGGATTCCTACCTCTCTGTTCCGGTACATAGGGACAGTTGAAGGTTCCTGAGGTTCCTCTAGAAAGGTGAACCTTGGCAATTCACTTGCCTCCCTTTCGGGCTCAGCTCTGCTCCGTGGTGCTTCACCATATTGCTGAACCTCCGCACACACGATGATCTCCTGATTTTATGCTCGGAACGGCGTCTGCAGAGCCAGACACATTTCGCCGTCCGTTTTCTGGAATGACTCGGATTTGTTGTGAATCGTTCCAAATCTGTTCTGACACAATTTTGATAGATTCGGATTCCTGTGTACTAAAGCTTCCCGCCTCCAAGGTGTCTTCCATAAGCAGAGAGATCTGCAGGGTTCTCCGCTGCGACTAGGTACCCTTAAGCACATTAGTGAGGGTCGTGGGTCTCACAGCAAATCTTCCTCCATGGGAGGCCCGTGGTCATTGCAAGAAATGTCAATGCATGTAAATTGCTTTGAGCTGCTGGCAGATTCTTTTGCGTTCTGCAGCCTAGCAAGGGAAAAATCCAATTGCTGCAGCCTCCTGTGGATTGACAACGTGTTCGCACTCTGGTATATCAACCGCCTGGGAGGAGTTCGGTCACGAATACTTTCGGAACTTTCGGAACTCACAAAAGACATAGTCAATTTTTGCCTTCCTCACAACATCTCATTGCGCGCAGAATATCTTCCGG